CGGAAGGTCTATTAAAATTCAATAAGCATTTTTTCCGACTATCGACATTTTTATAACGTTTGTCGATTTATGTTATAAAAAAAAAAATACAGCAGCAATACATTGAATGAATAAAAAAATTAATAACAATATTATTGAAGTTAATCTAAAAATGTATTTCTTACTTCTTATATGTACGCCTATTATTTTAATATATAAATTATGCTATAATAATCCTATAATAATTATTATATGAATATAAAAATAGTTCATAATAATTAAATTAAATAGACATGTAATGGTATACCGAAGATGACATCATTGTTCAAGATGTCTTCTTTACAATCTTAGACAATTTTCCACAACGGTAAATTATACACTGGTCAGTCTAATCAATTTCAACAACTTAATGTATACGCCAAAATAATAAATCGCAAAGAAAATATTTATTAGACCGTAAACGAAGTGTTAAAAGTATGATTTCGATGAGTAACATACATTTTATAATCGAGTTTGAACATTTTTAACATTATCATATGTATACCGAATCCAATGAAAATACTTATATATAGTTGCACCTCTGTATGAATTAAAGGACCATCATTTACATTGACTCAAACAATTATAATTTAAAATGTTATGCTTATTTCATTGAGTTAAAAAAAACTTATTTCCGAGAACCAAATATATCGTTAGCGTGGTATATTAATTATTAATAACTATGTAATTAAAAGTGTAAATTATTTAAACATTTTTCATACACATACATCATCCATTGTTCTAAATGAATAAATTCAAGGTTCTAATGCCATTATTAAAAAGTTCACTTATAATTTCTGACCAAAATTTTCAAAAATATTAAATATTTCAACATTTGGCGTATATTTTTGTGATTAAATTATATATTACATCTGACAATATTTGTTTATACGATATATCTTTTATCTGATTACGATATTGTCATTATGAACTATATCTTGAATGTATAAAACTTAAATAGTAACATTTGAATAAGTCGAATCTATATATACATTGTTTATATACATCATTGGTATTAATACTGGTTAACTACTAATTCAGCACCACTGTGAGTTACGCATTTCAGTTACAAAAAACATAATACATAATACACGTCATATGTTAATAATGATACGACGAGTATCCGGTATTTAAACTCAAATTTTCATTAATATATACAACGTTTTCGTGTATTATAAAAAACAGTAGTTTAGGCTAATGTAAATATTCATAATCAAAAGAGCAAAAAAAAGGACAAATGATGGTAGCGGGGCGAAGAAAAATTCATCCCATATGCCATACCGTACATATACATACTTAAGAATAGGTTGTGTGGTTTACGATTTATTGTTGGAAATATAAAAATAGATATTCATTTACAAAAGATGAATTGCACCCTTGTATAATAATAATGAAGAGAACGTCGTACTTTAACAATCAATTTTTTTTTTTCTAGAAACGTTCTATTACCCAAATGATTTTCGACGTGTGCATCAGTGTAAAATATGGACCGGCGGTGCTGGTGGCGCTTTGTAACCGGCGACGAGCCAAAGGTTGTCTGTAAACTCCAAACACGGAAGAAGCAGTCACAAAAGAAAAGATGATTCCGCACATATATATTATCCCTTAAGCATTTTAATATTCAAGATCGTACTATTGAGTATACTTCAATAATTTCGTAGATTGAAACAAACCAATTCGGCACGTTTTCCCTCAAACCATACTGGCACTTTTACCCCTAAAAAATAATTCCTACTCTACTCTGAGTGTTACACGACAAGTATCAATATCGTTGTAAAAATAACAATTGAAAATACAAGGCATGTAAAAGTACATTAAAGTGTCTCTGACGGTTCGTTTGATTCCGTCACCACTTTTAACGAATTGCGGATTCAAGCGAAGTCTAAAACAGAATATTTCTACGTGCCTAAATCCGATTTGGATGGTTTTCACCGAGGAGCTGTTTCAAGATATCTGTACACAGTTGGTTTGACGAAGAAAATGAGTAGAGACGGTGAAAAATTTTTTCAGGATATATGAGAGCAGTCGACGTCGGCTCGGGAAAATGCGCGATGTGCGTGCGGATCGCGTTTGATCAACCCGTGCTCGTATAAATATACACCGAAGGTCGAATAAAACACGCATATTTTTATTGAGTCAAAAGAGCGAATTATTATCCGGTTCGATACCGATTGCTTTTGTGTAACTCGGTTATAAATTATTTTAAGTACATACGATAGATGTATACGTCGTACAAATGACATCACATTGAGCCGTGTGCCGCCGGTACTACGCATTACGCGGCGGCTTCGGGTGCGAACGAGAGACCAGTGAGCGCGCGCGCGCGCGCGCGCGTGTGTGTGTGTGTGTGTGTGTGATGAGATGCGCTGCCGCCCAACAGCTATAGTTCGTGTATACAAGCACAAACACAGGCAAACGCACACGTACACATATACACACGTACACGCACACACACAAACGCACGCTTACGTGTGAGGGAATGCGGTCGAGGCTCGGGCCGGGCGTCACCGCCACCATCGTTGCTGCCGCCGGATCGTCGACGACGAGGAGTGCTGCTCGCGTGTACACATACGCGGCGACGACTATACTATGACGACGACGGCGGTGCACAAGGTGGATGACCTTGGGATACGACCTCAAACGGCCAGGTGAATGTTTGTATAATATCTGATGTGTACGGATAATAATATCCCACTGCAGCAAACAGCCGCCACACAACCGAGATACGAGTGTTATTTTTGGGTAAAATGGCGACGAACGCGGCGACCATACATACGAGGTAACGGGAAACGAATATAGGCAAAGGCACGGTGAAAAATAAGTGATGGAGTGGTGGATCCACTGCCATCGATAGGCCCTGCGGATTCGGCACGATTGGGCGAACGTTGACATTCCTTCGCGACCATGACGCGGTATGGAACGCGAGCGGCACTCATTACGCGTATTATACCACGACGACGCCACGGTGGACCGTGAACGGGAGAGGAGTGGTTTCGTCCACATTGTACCCGTGATCCGCGAGGGATCAAGGATAAAATTTATCCTATTTAATAGTGATGTACACGCGTGTATAGCACGTATAATATTGTATTTATGCATTTCTTTGGACGCGAGGGATGCCCTGTGACGGAGTAGTGAATCTGGGTCAGTTATTGCCTTTAGCGTTGAAAATTATAAATTTACAACCCTATGTCGTATAAACATTTAATACATGGTCACGTCACCAGACACTTGCTGTTTCCAGGAGACGTGTTCGTGCCCCTGGGACGAATGGTATTGATATATTCATGAAACATTGATGTACGTGTCGAATCGATTAACAACCATTTAAGCCTTTCTGCGACCATCTCCCCTTCGGTCCTCGATTACAACAATGGTAATATCATACACGCAAAAAGACAATATTGCATCGTGAGACCTTTACATTATTTTTAACCCGACTTAATTTTGCCATTGATATTATTGTTGTTGGTATATAAGAGAGGTAGTCACAGGTTAATCGGGACATAAGTTTGAGTCGACGCAACTATTTTTCATCTTATTTTGAATATTTTTTAGAAAACAAATAAAGTTTATTTTTCTCGTATTTTTGTTTAACCCACAAATATAAAAATAAGACTAATAACAATAAATACAGGCAATATATATAAATAACTATGAAAAACGTCACAAGTCTATATAAATTGGCCACTGCTGTTATATAATACGCATATACCTACTTAGGAAATCATTTCGGCTATTATTATCGCCGTGAACGTTCCATAATCGATCAACAGGATTGCCGAGCAAAATTCAAAATGCACTTATCGAACTGATCGGTTGTTGGTATATATGAAAATTAAACCACGCAATTTTTTTAATTTCCTGTATGGGCGGCGAAGTAAGATACGTGATCGGATGTCAAATTGACGCGTTCATTATGTTATGTTATATTGATTGCTGCATCAAGGTTAGCTGCACTAATCGCTTGAACCAATTGACTGATATTAATTACAAACGCCAAACTATATTTTTAAAACTACAAGAATTCAACTTCTGTTAGAATAATACAATTTTTTTTGTTTAGTGCCAATTTGTTCTCGGAAGAATTTTTTCAATTAGTTTTAAAATAATAAAAATTCAACACAACTTCAAAAACGTAATTATTTTACTAGGTACCATGTTATTCAAAATCAATTATCTTAGAATATGTAAATAGTAAAATAATTAATGAATAACGTACGAATAAATTATGAGAAAAATGCAAATGGAATAATTTATAGCCATTTAAAACTCATAATTAAACGATAACAAATAAGTAATAAAAATAATAATACGTTAGAATCTAACAAATTAGTATTGAAAAAACATAAACTAAGAAAATTATCAATAGATTTTAAATCTCAGAACATTTTTTCATGTAATTGCGCATTCATTTATCGCATTTGTTTTCTGAGTATTATTGAAATTTTTAATGTTAATAAAAGGGAAATATTTCAATATAATTACCGAGACTTTGTAACTACTTTATAGCTAAACTATAAATTATAATTATTATTGAAAACTGCAATGCACATGACATAATTGATATCGTAATACATACATATTTTAACATTTGAAATATATAAACGTACTGCAGAAGCATATTTTAATTTTACAATGTACAGTAGTGTTAAAATGAATAGATATACGTGTAATAAATTATTTTTAATTTTAGACTTGCGGAGCGATTGGATAATAAAAATAAATAGAATTTTTAACAACCAAGAAGCGAGGAAAACCTTGTAAAGTTTGATGGTAGGCTTCTGTGATTGTGGGTTGCTGTGGGATCTTAACACGAGAAGCAGTGTATCTATAAATACGCTAAAAATAATAGCCCGGACAATGCCAACAATTTCTCCAGCTGTCGCAGACCATATGGAAACCATTATAAATAAAAACGCGCAATAAGCTCACACGTATTGTGGCCTATATGAAATACATTTAAGTATAGAAATACTCACATGCTCGTCCAGTGAATAAATCAGTTCTCCGTCGTCGAACAGTACAAACCATCTTCTCTGCCATCTCTAAAACATAAAAGAAAAACAATATTTAATAGTGTGATTATTTTTCAACTAAATTTCATAATATGTTTATAAATTGTCAAAATAAAATAACTTTATTATTTGTTTTCATATAGCTGCATAAATTCATTCGAATCAAACTAGTTATTATAAAAAGCAGATTTTTTTCTAATTTTTTTGTTTATTAATTTTAGTATCACTCAAGGTTAAACTTATAATAAATAATTATACAAATTACAGTATATCTAAATCAATTAAGTGTTATACAAACGCAATATGAATAGATTGGAAATAATAGTGTCAAATTCGATATGAAAGGAACATCTAAATACTATTAATGATGATGAAAAATAATATAATTTCATATGGTATATTATACTACAATGGACACGTATTCATAAAAAATTGACATGTAGATCGTATTCATACATTAGTATAAAATGGAGGTAAAACATATTAAATTTAGGAAAATTGAGCGAGTGCATATTTTTTTTTTAATCTATAGAGACTTATCAAAATTAACAACTATATTATAGTTAATATTTATGACTAAAAACTTATTTTTTTCAATCCTATTTTCACGTATATGATAAGAAAAATTTAAAAAAACAATTGTAAAAAAATAAATAATAATAATAATTTTTAATTATAAATAAAATATAAAAAAAATTTTAAATTCACTTAAATTGTACAGCGTGCTGCCACGATGAACATATGCTGAATGCGTTGGACGTACAATAAATATAAAATGAATTATACCACACTCTCGATTTTCGCACGTTTTTATTTTTTAAGCTTACAGGGTAAGTCGATAACCGAAAACACCGGACGTTATTACTCACATTTCCTGCGAGTTGAAACATAATGTTGTTTTTCATGTAAAAAAATTAATTTTTTTGTTTTTATTACAACTTGAGTAAAACCCTATGGGAAAACATTTGCGCATAATAATGAGATATTAGACGGCCTATTTTTTACAGTTGTAATTATGATTTGCCAACATGCGGGTAATACTGCAACACCGATTTCTCTATATAAAATGAGGATAATTGCGTGTACTTAAGGAGCGGAACGCCCGTGTTCTAATTATCTTTACCACATTATACTATTGTGGCGCGGTAAAATAAGTTATCTTGTGGTCAAATAAAATGTTGTTATAAGAAACGAACATGAATGATATATAAACTGTAATTTTCGTATACTCATGTGTGGTATGCTATTAGCGTAGAAACATATTGTAAATTATTCTGGAGACTGTGAGACGTGACACAGGGTACGGAATAAGAGTATAATACTTTGGAAAAAAAAAAAAAAAAATAATTTACCATTGTAATGCCATGACGATACATGATGAAAAGCTGACGACATACCTATGATATTAAAAGTTCGCAAATAATGTATTAAAAGATCGAAAATATTTAAATGTAACCTGAGCCTAAGTCAATTTAATAAATACTAAAGCGTAACTTGAACGCAGTAAGAAAAACCGAACTAGCTAGCTCGTACTACGAATTTAAAAATAAAATACTTGTGCATTCTAAATATTGTTATTATTATTCTTACAAATACTTGGTCGATAGCCATAAAATTTAATTTCCATATGATTACTAAATAATATAGTAAAATAATAGCAATTTCTTATTAGTTTCAAACTTTATTTTAAGTATATAAACAGTCATATAAAATGGTTCAGTCGTGCAAAATATATTACTAATAAAAATAAGTTATTGATATATACCTAAGAGATCCCATTTTTTATATGTATTTTAGTTTGGTTTTTCGTGTACATATAGCTGATGTAATTTTAGAATACAATATGGTATATAATTTGGTAAAAAACAATGATAGTAAATTAATTTGAAAAGCAAACCACATAAAGGGTAAACTTGCAGTCATACGGATAATTTGTATTTAAGTATAGAAAGAATTCAACAACCATAATATGCAACCCTGATCACATATTAAAATTACTAAGCCATATGGACGGATATCACGCTACGTTTTAAATGCAAGTATAAAATTTCGAAATAAGACATCTTATAAATCTTATAATGATAAATAAAAACCTGGAGGAATAAAGTTCTTGAATATAACATACGACAACTTATTACCTATGAACCTATAAACCTACTTGAATCCGTCAGCCTTTAGTTCAAGAATGGTTTTAATTTTGACTAAAAAATTAATAATATGATTTTACGTACCTATATACGAGTACATAACACTAGCTGAATTACCCGTCGTTTCCGGATTTAAGTATAAAAATGTACGTATTATTGTTATCTGGCAAAGTTAAATATTAATTTTAGCCGTGAAGTTTTAAAAAACATTTTTTATTAATCTACTATTATATACAGCACTTTGTAGACAATATTCTTCACTGATTTATTAGTAGGAGAAAAGATCACCAAGGTATTGGGCGAACTTACGCGTGAGCAAGCTAGGTAGAACTGCTCATGTGAAATACATTTTTTTTTCAAATATATTTCCGCAAATTTAAGAATCTGGCTTTGAGATTTGTTCATGATCATTGCAAATAAGATTTTGAGGGGAAATAGTAATCGTTTGAAATCAAATGAAAGATCGTTAAGAGTTAAAGGAATTGGCTTTCAATATATTGCAATGTAAAGTTTAGACATTTAGCCTGTCGTTCTGATTGTGTTTTAAAATCTTCAGATTGGCATTTTTTAAATTTCACTCAAAGATATAGGAGATTTGATACTTGACTGAACACTAAAAGAATCGTAAGTAGATTCCAAATCATGTACGGTGATTGGTAAAGTGTTGCTTCTTCTAATATTGCGTACACATTCTGATCATCTTTAAGTAATCCTAGAATCCTTACACATGATTTGAAAATTAGGATATAACTGATTATTTACAGTTTTCAACGTTTCAAACGAAATGGGGCTCTGGATCTCATGAAGAAGCATACAAATATGAAAGCATTCTGTATTTTTCAGATGAACAATATAAACTATACCCAGAAGGTACTCTTTTTTGACACCTGAACAGCCTTTAATGTTTACTCTTCTCCTTTTTCTTTGAAAATTTTTCTTTTTCCAAGCGTAGTACGGACGTATATTTGGGTAAACAATGTTTTTGTAAAGTTATCCATTTTACACAGTTAAAAAAAATGATTAAATCCAACCAAGAAATAACGTTTTTTCATTTTTAACCCTTTTTTACCCTTTTCTCCCATAAGAGTTTAATTTCGTAAAATAAGGTTTATTCACAATTAATTATTTGTATAACAAAGTACCATTTGTATATTTAAATTTAAAAAAAATCCGACCAAAAAAAGTTTCCCATTTTTATTCCTTTTTATCTCCCTAGGGATTGAATTTAAAAAATCCTTTCTTGGCGGACGCCTACGTTATAATAGCTATATGTATGACAAATTACAGTCAGATCCGTCAAATGGTGGTTTAAGTTGTGCGTTGATAGATCAATCAGTCAGCTTACTGTTTTTTACATGTTTTTCATTACATGTTATTGTAATTCAAATTATGTTTTGAAACACCAAAATAACTCGTCCTATTTCTGTATGGTTCTATTGTTGATATAATATTAACCCATTATAAAATATTGATCCATAAATATAACACGAGGTAATGAATGATTGTGCATTGTCTTATTTGATATCTGTATTATTTCCAAATGTATACAATATACATTGTGGTCAATTTTATAAAAATATGGGTTTATATCATAGTTTAAACATTCGTCTTGTTGTCGTGAGTAACAGATTGAAAAATGACAACTCCTATGATCGTTAATAATCTCCTACTGATAAATCAGTATATTCTTAATCCAAACTAGAAAATATATAACCAAATAGATTGTACCTACTTATAAAATTATATTACATAACTTATTGAGGGAGCCTAAGTTGACTCTTTATAGCTTTAAAAGAAATTACTTATAATAAAGCATTATAAAATGAATATATTTAGAGACTTAAAATATATAAATTAATATATTATATTTTTATCTTTGTATGATTAATTGATTTGTTCAAATATTTTAATTATTGTAATTTAAATATATAACAGACCATGATTTGTGTGCAATATTATTTAGTCGGGTATAATCTCTATTTTAATTCCTAGTCTAATTATAAATCTGTTTTAGATTGATCTTATACAAAATATATATTCAAGTAGGGTATAGCCTCAATATAGATCATTTTCTAACATTGATCTTGTTCCTAGACATTTATAAATGTCTGTTCAGTGTCGGACTTTTCTAGTATATTGTAAATGAAACGGTTTGGTTCAGTCAGGCTTAAACTTTTATTTTATCGATCTGGTCGGGTCTTTAAAAAACAGCCCGTACAAGACTATAGAGAACTTATATATATGTATATATTATATTGTCAGAAAACGAATTATCATTGTTATGATCTATGCAATAGCATAAACATTAAACACATTCGAGTTCAATGATATTTTCTTAGTATCTGAAAACCTAGATAATAACCATAAATATATTTTTCTTAATGGATATGTTAATATATGATATATATATATATAATAGTATACATATTTTGTATACTTAATTATTATATTTAACTTTATTCGTGTACAGAAATTTTACTTTATCGTATAAGATATCTGTAAAACAGGCACTGGCATAACTACATATAAAAAACCGGTATGTCATAGATATAAGAAGCGTAAAAAATTAGCACAATCACAATACTGTTAATATCTTAATTCAACACTTCTATGGTGTTTCTTAATAATATATCGATTTTGTAAATCAAAGTTGGCTGGTGTTTCTGGCAATATACCAATTACGTGTTTTTTGTAGCCTTGATGCGTGATAATAAAAGTTTTACAATATATGTAATACTGATGATTAAATAAAACGCGACTCCACATTATACACATTTTACACGCAATAAGGCTTCACGCTCGAATTAACCTGTTTTCAAAAATTAAATTAAATCTATAACCATTAAACTCAAAAACCTAAAATTCTACGTAATATTATCTCAA